ATACACCTCAATACCATACTTTTAGGTGAAATAAATCAGACATGTATGTGTAAATACCACATTGTTTCTCTGATATGAGAAACTGAAAGGTGAATAAGGACCAAAACATATTCTAGATACTGTGAAATAGAAAGGAAATGTGCAAATGTGGAGGAGAAGAGAGAGGGAGGGGGAGGGAAAAGGAAGAAGGGACAAGAAAAAGAAAATGGAAGGAAAAAAAGGAAACAAAATGTTTGCAAAGAAGTAGGGGAAGAGGGCATGACAGGAGGGGAAGGGAATAGGAAAACAGAAGCAAGGTACATGATGTACAGGTACAAATTCCCTCTGATGAATGTCATCATTATACATATCTAAAATATACCAGTAAAATTTTAAAAAGAAGTAATTCATAGATTTCATAAATAGCATTATTTAAAAGAGCATGACTAAGATTCCACTACTGGAAAAGAGTTTTTAAACTATGGCAACTTCATTTATAAATTTATCTCATTGACTTTTACCTAATCTTTTCCTTCTTAATAAATATGCTTGACTTGCCACTTAAAACTACCTGTTGAAGAAGGTCAGGAAATCCCACTCCAAAATAAGTTGCTTTGGGTATATTCATTACTTTAAACTACAGACATTTGAAAACTACCAAAATTCAGAGGGCGGCTTTCACAAAGCGATCCTCCGTAAGAAATCCACTGTAGTACTCCTCGCCGCAGGGGTTGCAGCAATCAAAAACACTGACAGTGATCACAGCAGAAACTCAGACCTAGTCACAAACCAGCATTTGTTTCTTTAAGAACTCCATCATCCATTCCCCAATCATTTATTCTAAGAACGTCTCTCTTCACTATATGACTGTTATACCTGATCTAGGAGGGGGTGAGCAAGTAATGGATTATTCTTTTAATTGACCTGCCTATTAGCTGTAATCATTACCTTTAATCATTAAAAATATTTCCACAAAGACATGCAAGGGATAATTAAGGGCTCTGTAATGTTGGGAAACCAGGAAGGAGTTCCTCAGGTCAGTCCAGGGTACAGAAAAGGAAAATCTCAGGCTGCAGTGCTCTAGGAAGGCTTTAACAGAAGGTAGAACCCAAGGTGGATACTGAGGCACAGGCACCACAGAAGAATGAGGGTATTCAAAGGTACAGTAACTAAAAGTAAGGATAATTTTTCATAGAGCATAGACAACTTCTACATAAGGGTAAGCTTTATTACATACCATCTCAGGAGATCAAACTGGAAAATGTAACCTAGAACCACATTGTGATGAGGTATAAATAGAAAGTTAAACATTTTACCAAAATTAATGATCTGCTTTAAAGAATTTGGAAAAAATTATGGCATTACACATAGGACAGCTTGGTGATGTACAAGATAAATCAGAGCCAGAGATACTGCCGGCTAAGAAATCTTTTAAAAGGCTGTCAAGTTGCCTAGTTAGAGAAAGAAAATGCTTGAAAATTGAACTTTTTGTACCATTTGGCGTGGTAGTGGACCAGAGCACAGTCCTCTAACAGTGAGAGAACATGGAATTATCTCCCACTGCCAATCTCCATGTAGAAAATGTGTAGGGAGGTAGGTTTCCCTCAGTTTAAAGCTCTTTATAGCCATCATCTCCTCCCCATGATGGGTTAGAGTGTACGACTTTGGGAGGAGGAGCAGGAAAGAGCTCCAGCACTGCTTTGCAGAATAGACAGAAAGCATTGGAGTTCCAAGAATGTAACACTCCAAGAAGGAAGGAGGAAGAAGAGAGTAAATATAAAACAAGAGGAAATTGGACACTAAGCAAGAATACAGGCCAAGGAGAATTCTGAATGGTTACAGTGTCCTCAGACAGTGCAACAGGCTGAGATCTCAAATTGCAAAAGCAAAACACAGTCATTCCCCTTTCAGGGTTTGAAAGTGATTTGCAAATAGAAAAAAGAGGCAGGTTATCAAAACATTAACTCTATATACGGTGAAGTAAAGCCAACATGTACGACCAGACCTAAAGCCACCAGTGAGATTTATAATATTTCTCCTCACACGTAGAATTCAGAAAGACTTTGCCATCCTAAAACACTGCCTAAAAATAGATACTTTTCTGACGAGGTACCAAGGAACTCACCCCTCCCATTAATTGGGCACTGTAAGGAAACAGCGTGGAACCCAGATCTGCCTTGAGAAAGGACCTAGGCTGTGAGGGCTTACACAGGAGTTCAAAGCAGCACACACACATTTCCAGCAGACAGATGTAAGAGGAGAAAAAAGAAACTAAGCATCACACAAAAAATTCCAAGCTACCAATTACATCTCAGGGTCTGTGCTAAGATGAATAGGTTACAGTAACTATGATCCAGAATTGCCTTCAGAAAAACAAACGAGTGAATGACTCAGATTTATGGCTTAAGGGTTTGCTAACTCATAGTTGGAAAATGTGATTCCTCCCAGAAAATCAAAAATGAAATCATAGACTACATGACAACCCCAATTACAATCCAAGTCTCCTTCTGATAGAGAATGTGGCATTACAGCCCTGTAGGTGGCTGACTCATGATTCAAAGCCCCACGGAAGAAGATCACTGTCGCCACGGGAATCAGAACTCTCCCTAGAGAATTCAGTGTTTTTCATCTGAAGTCCTAGAGAAGAACCTGTAAAGGCATGTTAACAGGAAAAACAGAAACAAAAATTAACACTCTGTTTTCTGTTCTTGGGATGCTATCCTTTAGGTGAGGAATATATAAGGAACTTCTCTCACAATAAATTTCACGTGGCAAGTTGAAGTCCATTTATTTAATAGCTCTTGAGTGTTATTGGGCCAATAAAACAGCTGTTTGAAATACAAAGAAAGTTATAAAGATAATTACTAACAGACCAGAGGTAAGTTCTCCTAAGACTTTAAATTTTACTCTGCCTTTCAATGCTGTATCACAGAATTTATTAAACTACTACCCGCCTAAATCAGTTGCTTTCCTATTAACACACAGCGATTGCACATATTAATGGGATCCAACAACATTTCCTTACATGCACATAGATTGCTCTGATCATACCTAAATTATGAATTAAATTTTATAAGCTGTTTTGTTTTAAGCGGTTATGATAACTAGGCCTCAAAACTGTATTTTGAAGTTGAATAAATAATTTTGTGCATAATAAAGGTGTATAAAAAGAAGGTATACCTCTATTTTCAAAATAAAATATTTGCCAGTCTTATAGTTTTACACACATTAACCTAAAGATCTTATAAAAGTAAAAACACCTACAATCAAATATGAAGTTAGTGTAAGATAGTCAGATTCCTTGGAAAAATTTTTAGCAAAATAGTCTTGGCCAAAAAATATACCAAATACTACTAATGGGTATAGAATTAGAGAGAAAACCAAAATTGAAATTAAACCAATAATCCATGTAGAAACAAATGTCTAATAGATCAATAAAACAAACAAACAAAAAAACCTCATCTAGACTATAATACAGTATATTAAAATTTATGGGATATGGCCAAAATAGTACTCAGCAGAATTGTATCAACATCTGTTCCTAGGCAAAAATAAAATGAACAAAAAAAAAATGTAGCTAAACTGTCAACTGAGGAAGCTAGAATTACATCACAAATCTAAAAGTAACAAAAGCAACAATAATGGTAAAAGATGAAATAATGAAATATAAGCACCACCAATAATGAAAAGCAGCAAAAGTAATTTTTAATGTACAATTTCCAAGACTAGTAAAGACAGGGAAAAGCTTCTACTTATATTTTCTAATGCTCCGCACCAGAAATCTAAAATCACATAAATAGAATTCTTTAGTGATAGTTAATTTACATATAAAATGATATTCGCTATTTTAAGAGGAGATGATTTATGTGCTAGTGTAGAGTAGGTTTGCATATCTCATACATAACCAGCCAGCCTTGGGGTTGTGCCACATTCATGTGCTAATGCTGTTATTTCCCTGACATTTTTGATTCATTTTAAAGAAAAGAAAAAACAAACTTCATATCATTCTATAATAATGCTGTGAAAATACAAGTCTGATGGAAATATCTGCCTATCACAGAGTTAAAAAACGAATGCATAGCAAATTATTTTTTCAAGGCTCTTTCTTGACCCAGTCATGGACAAGGGATCCTCTTGAGTAATGCAAGTGAGCATGACTGCCTAAGTTGGATCTGGTTTAGACCCAGGTGGCATACTCCTTTCTGACTTGTGGCAGCTCAGCCTGTACCACAGTGTCTTTCTTTGGTTGCCTGATGGGGACAGTGGTCTAGTAGCTGAACCTACCAGAAGTGAAGGAAGGGATGGTTCTGAGGGCACGGATGTAGCTGCCCATTTCTGTCTTTGCAAACCCAATTAATATTATGAACCCTAGATACGGGTGAGAAAGCAATCAAAGACACATATTTATCTTCAATTCCAAGGTTCCTGTGATACCAGGAACAAGCAGAAGGGAACTACTATAAACATTCCTATTTTTCCAAGGCTACACGTGTTCAGTGCCTGAAGGAATTTTCTTAGCCTCTTTTGGCAAAAAGGAAATGTCTCCCTTCTAACCTTATAACCAAGGTTTTCCAGAACTTCCTGAGGGAGGGATAGAATCTTCTCAAATTAAAATAAACTGAAAAATTCCTCAAATAGTAGAGAGGCTCCAAGTTCTCCAGATACCTCCAGAATTTCAATGATGTTGAATAAACTACTGTTTAGATGTTGTTATTTTTGCTTAAAATAATCATTCACTACATCTTTCAATCCAACAGTAAAACTAATTTCCCAAGCAAAAACTATGGAATGGGAGCACATTTGGCGCCTGAAGCCACCACGCTGTAATTATGTGAGGGGCAGAGAGCAACAGAAGGAAAGATGGTGGGGAAACCTGGGCACAACTGCATAGGATGGGTTTGTTGATGCCCCATCCTGTACCTAATCTAGGCCATCTCAATTTTCCCAGGGTTGCCATAGTAACAGCCCCATGCAGAACCTACACACCCTAGTAATTCTATGAATGTCCTATTGTCCTGCAGGGTTCCTGAAAAGCAGAAGAAAAGCATAGGATCCTGCCTGGGAAGACAGAGTCTGGGTGCCTGCAATAAAACCTCTGTCTTGAGGACATGGGCAAGATTTCTACACTGTGTCCTCTTAACTGAGCTTTTGAAGGCTATTTTGCTATTCTATTTTCAGTCTTTTTTTTTTTTTTCATTTTAATGTGTCCTGGCTCCTTTTATTTCAGGACGGTGCATTCTTGATTTCCTATCTGAACTCCTAAACTGACCCCACCCCCTCTTCTTTTTAAAACTCATTACGTGATTTTTCAATCAACCAATTTTGCCTTGATATGGAGTGATCAAATCACTGGGTCCTGGGTAAAGATATTCATTTTAGATCCTGATTCTGATATTGGCTATCTCTGTGATTTTGGGAAATTTTAAACTTTGTGCACCTCTGTTTCTCCATACCCTAACTGAAAAAAGCATACACACCAAAGACAGAGTTCTACTAAAATATTAAATATTCTATGCTCAGGAAAACACAGATGAAATGTTAACTACTAATATTATTTACACTGCATCAATAATAACTGGCAAAGTACTAGATATTTTTAACATGTTTGGAGAAAAATAAATTCTATTCCTTCTTTACTGTACAGTAATTTTTGTTTAATGAATTGACTATCAAATCTTAAATTTATCAAAATCCTTAAAATGTTCAAATTCCATACCCATTTTGTTTATTGTTTATCATTTACAACAGAATGATCTTACATTTGGTTTTGTTATTTAGATGATAAATAATCTAGATCATAATTAAATTGTTCTGCAAACTGAAGAAAATCATTAGCATCAATGCATCTGTTCAGTTCATTATGAATTTGTACTAATTTTCACAGTATACTCTGCACAGAGTATAAACTCCATGTTTACATTTAGGAAATTAACCAGAATTAGGCACTATAAAAATATATGAATCATGGGAAAAATATGTCTCAGAAGAGAAAAATGTGGAGTACATTGTAAAAAGATTTGATTTCCTGCATGTCTCTTGACATACAATAAAACCTGTGTAAATTGAAGTCATACCTTTTCCCACATATACTACCATGACCTTTATACAGCCAACATCCCATAATTGGCCAACACTCATGATTATATATATATATATATACATATATATATATACATATATATATGGTGTGTATATATATATGGAAACAAGCGTCGGGAAAGCTCTGGAGAGGAACCATGGGGTTGTTCAGAGCCCTCGCTCCCCTCTTAGTCCTGCACCTGCTGGGGGACTCAAAGGCTTCCCTAGTGCAGCTGAAGGACAATGGCTATGAAGACGTCATCATCGCTATAGATCCCACTGTCCCAGAAGATCCCCAAATAATTGAACACATAAAGGTAAGGCAAAAAGGAAATTTCTTCAGTTTGAATTATGAGGAAAGAAAATTAGTAGTGACTGGTTATTATGGAAACTGTTGCAGGAAGTTTCAAAGAAGCTTGGAACAGATAAGGACAGTGCTGGAGGGGCAGAAGTTAAGTGGAGTCCTAGACAGAGTTCCGTTTCTCTCAAGAGCAGAACAGCATTCAGGTCCTCCCTGAGCCTCAGTTTCCTCATCTGGAACTTAGTTCTTTGGTTCACATGATCTTGAAATAATTATTTATTAAATGCTTATGTCATGTTGGAAGAAAGAGCCATGAATTAAATAAAAAGGTTCCTGGCCTCATGGATTGTGTATTCTTTTAAGAGACATGATAGAAATGAGTAACGCAGCTGATGAGAAGGCAGGGAGTTTCTCTGCAGTACAGTAAATCAAGAAAAGAGAACAGAATGAGGATGTGGCTGGAACAGAGGGGAGATTTTCTGCTACTGTTGAATGTAGGGGAGTCAGGGAAGACAGCACTGAGGATGTGACATCTGAGCAGAGACAGAGATGAGTGAGAGAGGAGCCCCCCCCCCAAACCTGCTGGATGGGAACACCGAAGGATAAGAGACTGATTGGTGAGCCCAAGAACACAACAGCAATGAGCAGGAGGAAGGGCAAGGGGGCGGCAAAGCTGCAGTGGCAGCCACTCTCCGGATCACAGGACAGACTTGAGCTTTTATCCTGAGTGAGAAGAGCACCCACGGAAGGCTTCTGAGCAGAGGTGTGTGCTCTTGTATGTCTTCCGGGATCCCTCTGAAGCGTGGAGAAAGTGGGGGAAGATTTCCATTGTCACCTCTCCTGCATGAATGCTGTTGTCACACAGAAGTTTAGAAGAACCAGGAAAGGAGCTAAGGCTGGTGAGCAGGGAGTAGGACAGGGAGGTCATGGTAGAGACTATTAAAATGTGTGATTGTCAAGGTATTTTACGGGTTTCACAGGTGATATGGCCTATGGTCGGGTGTATGTGGGGCAGGGAAGGAAGGAAATGTAAGAGCTGAAGAAGGCTTCAAGGCTCTGCCTGAACACTTGGAAACATGAGATTTTCTTTAACTGGGAAGGGAAAAAATTGTAAGTGGAGAATATTTGGCAGTTGGGAGATGCAGAGTTAGTTTGGGGTGTTTTGAAGATGAGATGCACTTTAGACCTCCAAGTAGAGAAAATACAAATCTGAATTCATGGTAAAAAATAATTGCACATACATAAAAATTTGAAAGCCAATCAATGACATCAGTGACTCAGCCATAATATGAGTCCACTGAGTGAGTAAAAACAGAAAAGGAATCACTCCAGAAGTTGCTCAAGGACTCCAATTTTCTAAAATTTCTTCCCACTCTAACATTCCATGTAGCACAGATATTGCTATTTCAGCTATATGAATTATTTTTCTTTTTCTTGACATCAATATCTAACAGTTCTTTCTCCTAAAATCCTCCATTCCTAGGTCCTGTTTAAACTTTCTAATGTGCATGACCTGAGTGGAAAGCTGCTGATGCCATGGATGACATTTATCATTCATTCCTCATAAATTCTGTTGCCACACAAAGGTGTTTTCTTATTGGTACCTATGGAATTGTAGGAGAAAATGAAGATTGCTTTTACTAAATAGTGTGGATTTGGGGAACAGATAGCACAGCTGATTCTGAATGATAGATTTTAGTGTTCAGATAATTAACTTTTTGAACATTTCTGAACCCAGAAATCGCTATTTGATAGAATTATGTGTGAGGGGAAAAAATTCGTAACATGACCCTCTATTAGACAACACAAATAGAAATTGTACTATTCACAGACATTTCCAGAGAACCATTTCAGGTTTCAGAGAACCATTTCAGGTTTCTGAGAATCATTTCGGAGGTTCTCTAAAATTGAACCCTTTCCATAGTCTTTATCTGTATACAACCAGGAAACTTTGTAAAATACCACCATTCACATTATACGTTAAAGGAAACTTGGGTTCTAAAAGGCCAGATGATTTTTTCAAGTTCACATTATGTAGCACAGTCAGAATTAAGATCCAGGTCATGAAATTGAAGATTGATAAACATGGATTTGGGTTATGGCTTAGATAAGATAACAAAACAAACCAGAAAATCACATTTAAAAACTTATGAGCCGACTGCGGTGACACAAGCCTATATTCCCAGTTACTGGGGCATGATTGCAAGTTTAAAGTCACTCTGGGAAATTTAGCAAGAACCTTCTCAAATTTTTAAAAATAATAATTTATAAAAACCTAGAATGTAACTCTAACTGAGACTGTGGGTTCGATCCTCAGCAAAAAGAAAAAAAATGCTGATGAATCAATTTGTGATCCTATTCTTAGGTATACTACCTAACCATAGTAAGATGCATGATGGACTAGTTTATAATTCATGCCCCAAAATGGTCAATTTTCAACTTTTTATGTGTAGATTCATGTTTCCTCTTACTTTGAAAGTAATCACTTTTGCAAATACTGGTAACTTCTTTGACCCAAGTAGGATTTCTAAGTAGGAATTTGGGAATAATACTATATAAAATGAAAATCCTGCTTATAAAATCTTTAGGAAGCATTATTAGTGACTCTGGAATATCCAGGAAGTGATAACCATCTCTTGGATCTTTGAAATATTTCATGACATAAGAATACCCCACTAGTCAGGTCAGCCAGGTGGCCAAAGCAAAGATCCTTTTCAATTGTACAATGAACAGCCCAGACAGCTGTACACAATGATCCTATTTGTTCAATCTATAACTCAATTTGAACTACCAAAAATACTTTTATCTCAGAAAGCCATTATTTTAAAAAGGTAGTAACGTGGGGCTAGAGATTTAGCTCAGTGGCATAAGCACCTGCCTTGCAAGCAGGTAGTCGTGAGTTCAATCCCCGGTACTGATAATTAAAAAAAAAAAAAGAAAAGAAAAGAAAAGAAAAAGGTACTAACATGTTGAGATGTAAATATATACATAAAAAAAAAAGAGAGAGAGAGGGGGCTGGGGATTTAGCTCAGCGGCATAAGCACCTGCCTTGCAAGCAGGCAGTCCTGAGTTCAATCCCTGGTACCGGTAAAAAGGAAAAAGACAAAGAGAGAGAGAGAGAGAGAGAGAGAGAGAGAGAGAGAGAGAGAGAGAGAGAGAGAGAAAGAAGGAAGAGAATGTGAGGGGATTGGGGGAGGGATGGAAGAAAATGGGCATCTCTAGAAACATTATTTCCTGTCTTGCATCAGTGCTAAAATAACCTCTATCCTATTTTTGAGTTCTTCAAACTCTTCCCCTAACCCCCACCTAGTCCACTCAGCCCTTTTTGGAGACCATTACCCAATGGCTCTGAGCAGGATTTAAAATTAACTAATTGGCCTTCTATGTTTATCTGGAGTCTGTCCTAGGTCTTAGCCCTTGCCTGGCGATGGGAGCTGATTCATAGTAAGTGAACCTCTATGAATCACTGGTCCTGGCTGAGGCCTGTAGTGTCCTGTGAGGCCAGCGATACCTCAAAAGGCAAGATAAGGCCACAGCTGCAGATGCCTTGGCTCCAACACTAATTAAGTAAATAGAGACTGCAGCTGAAGGAATTTCAGCAGTGGCACTCCTACCACAAATGTCATCCTGGAGATAAGACAGGTCTCCTAAATTGGCATAATTTACTACTTAGTGATGTGGTTGAAGTGACTCCCAAGGTCCTGCTCATTTCCCATGCTTTCCTCAGTTTCCCCGCCCTTTGTAGTTGGACCTAATAAATACGGGCATCCAGAGAAGACCCTCCTGGAGCCCTAAAATCATACCACTTTTCTTATTTTATTTAAGCCTTGGCCATACATTTGTTTAGGAGATTGGGGATCTAAGTCAGGACCCGATAGCCCTTAATTCTCTAAACTCTAGCCTTCAGACTGATCCATGGTTCTGAACCTGATCAGTTCGCTGACTTCATGCACTACAGATGAATCAACACATTAAATTCTCATAGGAAACCAGGACACAAACTTTGGAATTCCTGAGGAAGAACAATTACTTCAAGTATCATGGAGGAGCCAGCTGAAGAAGACTGGGGCATTCCCAGAAAGATGAAGTTTATGTCCCTACCCAGCCTCTAGGATTCCTGTTATTCATTAGCCTTGATCACATAGAACCAATTACCCTAAGTTCCTTTCCCTGTATATTTCTCCCACCAGATAGAAAGTTTAATAGAGAGCCAGTTTGTCTTATTCACCATTTAATTTGAGTATATGATTAATTTCAGTTTGCTGGCATAGTAACAATTCTGTGATCAACATCTATGTGAATATTCTCAATTCCACCCACGAAAGCACCAACCCAGAGACCTCTTCTGGGAATGCAGTAGGGAGAAGGAAATGCCTGTTATACTAATTTCTGCAGACTTCCTACTTCAGCTTACATCAGCTGAAGCTGTTCTTCACTCAGTTTTTTATAATAGCATGTACCAGTAATTCCAGCACTTAGGAGGCTGAGGCAGGAGGATTGCTGAGTTTGATGTCAGCTTGAACTACATAGTGAAATCCTGTCTCAAAAAGACAAAAAAATATATAATCAGAGATGATGTCAGTTTTAGGACTGATGATATGCAGAGTAGTTTTTAATTCATCCCATCTTTATGACAACCACAAAAATAGGCAGTGTAGCAGTGACCCATTAAAAAGCGGGGAAACTGATTTTCAGAACACGGCAAACATCAAGCAAGATCTGCTATCCAGTGAAGTGGGTTCATGAACATAATATGAATCCACGCAGCCAAATTGATAAATTTGGAATTTTATTAGGTGAGCTCAGTGACTACCCATGGACCCTTGTTTCAAAGTCCAAACAAGGGGCTCTGAACTGAAAATTATAGAACTTTTAAAACAGAGAACCACAAAAACACATCCTGTTGGAAACAATTTAGCTAGAATCTTACATTAATTTGATTGACACCTGTATCCTGGTTCTTTGTTGAGCAGGTTAATTTTTTTCTTGTGGGTACAACTCATTCTGCTTTTCTCATGGGACTTGTACCCTGAGTAATTTTTCGCTCCTCTGGGTCAAATACAGGGCACAAGATGGCATCAGTTATGTTAAGCTACAACACCCAGAAAGTGCTAATACCACTACTAGAGCCAAGTAAATGACTCTAAAGTTCATTTACATATTTATAATCATATCCACCAACTCTTCTAATCACTGTGCAGAAACAGTCACCTGTTGTGGTAGGAAGACTAAAGACTGAAGAGGTTTTCATGCTGCAGATGGAGTGGAAGGAGCCGAAATTATGTGCAAGACCCAACTCCTAGCTCAGTTGCTTTTGCGTTACTAACAGTGAGAAATGCCTGACATAAAGCAGTGTTCATGACTCCACGCTTACTCTTCCATCCTCACATACTGTTTCCCTTTGATAATAGGACATGGTGACCACAGCATCAACCTACCTGTTTGAAGCCACAGAAAAAAGATTTTTTTTCAAAAACGTGTCTATACTGATTCCTGAGACTTGGCAGAAAAATTCTGAATACACAAGGCCAAAATATGAGAGCTACGAACATGTAAGTGTCAAATTTGTTTCCAATGGAAAGGAATATATTCTGAAGCTTCATACTTAGACCATAGATTGTTGCAGAGTTAGTCTCACTAAACATCACCATTTCTCCTCTTGATGGGTTCGTGCTCTTTTTCACCATTTTCAGGCTGATGTTATAGTTGCACCACCAGCCGTGCCAGGCAGAGATGACCCATACACCAAGCAGTTCTCAGAATGTGGAGAAAAGGCGGAATACATTCATTTGACTCCTGATGTTGTTCTGGGCAAAAAACAAGATGAATATGGACCATTAGGTAGGAAATTTGCACCAAATATCTAATTTTCAACAAGCAAATGTGTTTCCAGATTAAATAAGCGGGCTCTGGAGCCAGAGACCCTAGGCTCAAATTCTTGCCCTTCTGTATATTAGTTATGTGCAACATTGAGGAGGTAATCTACCCTCCCGTCCAAACGTGAATAAAGGAATCCCTACATCGTGGAATTTTTTGAACTAGAAAATCTATGTAAATATACTTAATGTAGTATGTAACAATATCCTCAGAAATTTGGACAGAGAACAGGAACAATACTAAATATTTTCTGAAGCAGTTTTTAGGTTTCATGTTTCCAGTTCTCCACAGGGGCACATTAATCAGTCTCATGTCAGCTCCATGGACTGCAGATGTATGGTAAGGTGGACACAGCCATGATGCCAGTTAACTGTCAAGAGAAAACAGTCACAGGCTGTTACTGGCTACTACAATTAAACGTTTTGTTTGAGGTCAATGAAACTGAGTAATTCAGCACCTGGACCTATTAAAACTGTGTTTCATCTCATTCAATCTAAATGTTATGATTACTTATTCAATTGAGCTAAATCATACTATTTTTAAAAGGTAAGTTATTGATAAAGGTCAATTTATGTATATTATTCAATAAAACCCTTCATGAGCCCCCAAACAGCAGACTCCTCTCTCCCCCTCCAAATCCCTGTGAAGTACGCATTCTTGCAGTCTCTTGTCTCTGCCAAAGTTCACCCAACCTCATCAACCTGAACTTGATCCCCATGCCAATCTTGAAAACTCTGTATTTCCTCCTGTCTCAGTCTTACCTCTCCCCCAGATTTTATCCTGCCAGGTTGTTCTCCTTGGCCCCTCTAATTTTCTGCACCCCCCTCCCAAGTTGTTCGGTCTTTCTATTTATGTCTATCAAACTCTTTAAGCACAGGGATAAACAATTCAGTTCCCCCACCACTCTCATGCTTAGCATTTATTTGACCTACTAAATCTCCAGTATGGAATGATCTGACCAGGCTGTATGTCTTCTATTTCCAGATGTCATAAAAAAGGGAAACTTTTACAATTTTTAAGGACAGTGCTACCATTTGATCTCCTGATCTTTCTTCATATTGCACCCCTCAGTCATATTCCATTGCTGATTCTGCCCTTTCTCTGAGATGTCTATATTACATAAGAGATATGTGTGTTTGTGAAATAAAAACTCACATTTTGCAAATCATGCTCTAAAACAACAAAGCTTTTAGAAAAATAAGATAAAGTACAAAGCTTGGAAAATCTAATTTTCTAATAAGTATAATAACAAGAACAGTAAGAACAGTTTCCTCGAAAGAGCATTTAAACCACTAAGGCAAGTACCTTTGCATGACTGCAGGCTGGCACGGCAGTGCACACACACACACCACCACCACCACCACCACCACCACCACCATACACACATGTACGCGCATTAGAAATGAGAACGAAGTAGCCCAAAATGAGACCACAATGTAGATGGGAGAATACTAAGTCAGAGGGGCTGCTTTTGGGGAGAAGCATAGCAGGCAGGACAGGCGCAGGAGACAGCAAGCCTGGGAGGGCACCCGAGCAGGCAGTTTCATGTGGTCTTCAGGTCAGCAGCCCACGAGAAGGCTTTACGCTCTCATACTGAAGGTTACAGTCCTCTCCCACTCACCTGACTCCATTGGCCCAGAAAACATTAAACCAGCAATTTAAAAGTTTAGCATGGGAAGGAGTGACTTGGGGACTTGTTATAATGCAGACTCTGACTCAACTGCAGGTTTCAGGGGCCGGAAGCTCTGCTTTTCCAAGTATCCTTGCCGATGCCCCTGCCTCACCCTCTTGGGTAACAAGGGCTTAGGTGAGAAACACGACTTTTCTTCCTGATTACTGGTATTTCCGCCCTATTTTCAGATATTACAGGATATTATCCGAGCTTAGGTAACACACACTGCGGCACAACTGACTCTACTGTCCTGTTCTTGTCTCCATCTGTTTCCTCTGAAGTTATCCCAACTAAAGGTTTCCCCAGGCTGCAAATTCTACTTGTTTCTTCTTTCTGCATCCCAATATGTGTTTTCTTTTTTATTTTTCCATTCATCTGGAAACCTTATTTTAAAAAATGCTTTATTCAAACTCCTCTCAAAATATTTTCATTTAAAGACATTTCCTAGTACTTAATATGCACCTGAAAATATTCTTTTATATAAACAATGTTTATGCGTATCATAAATGAATCACTTCATTTTGACATTTCCTGAATACTATATAGTCTATTTCTCAGTCTCTTTTTCATTGTCATCCTTAGCAGGACCATTTTTATAGACATTTTTTTCTACTTGCATTCACATTGTATTTAAAGCAACAGAATTATTTCATATCCAATTACATGGCTAACAGGCTTGAAGTTGGGAGAGCCGTGTACTGTTATAATACGTAAGACCTTTGACCTCTTTGGACACAAACCCAAACCCTAGTCTATTCCAACAATACTATGCATTCCAAAAATGTTTTGTTGATTAAACACGTGTGTGGAATAAAATAATATATAAGGAAAAATATAAGCTTATTTAAAGCAATAGGCTCCTTTTATAAACAAAAACACAAATGTTCAGTTATGAAAACCTAAATCTACCAATATTTGTGCCTGAAACATCTTAAGATCTTTGAGAATTTTTATCACATGTTTGAAATGTTTTCCCACAGGGAGACTACTTGTCCATGAGTGGGCCCATCTCCGCTGGGGAGTGTTTGATGAATATAATGAAGAGAAGCCTTTCTACAGGAGCGAGTTAAATAAACTTGAAGCCACAAGGCAAGGCTACTTACATTTTCTTAACGTAACATCAGGCTTTCATTTCATTAACCTGTTATTATGAATGATAATCACTTACCAGTCCCAAAGCAGATGGTAGATGCAATATCACAAAAACTGGTTTTACTTTTTTAGGAATTTTTTCTTAAAGTACATGGTTGTTTATTTAAAATGCACATAACTTCACTGGCAAATGTTTTCTGGCAATTTGACACATCCTATACCTGCCTGCTATATTGAACTCACTTTGACTAAAGTTATGCATGGTGTAAATGGACTTACTATAGTTTTGAAGACCAAAATTGATCCAAATAGACCAAGGATGAACAAAAATGGTTAAGTACTACTGAATATTTAAGTATTTAACTAGTGAATCACTTTGTAAAACATCAAGTAGCTTCACAGAGCCAACTAGGAATTTCTCCGAGATTTATGAAGATCAGTTTAAAATATTGATCTAGTATCACAATTAATAACAAACTCTCCTTTGGATTTTGAGATCAAAAGAGCAATACTACTGTGAGGAATCCATTTAAAGTAGGGTGTTATCAGCCTCGTCTGTATTACATGCCCTGTTGGAGCTAGAAATTGTCACTAATGTGCAAATTAAAAGGTACATGGTTTCAATGAAGACCATTTCTCTGTCCCATCGCACCAGATTTTAAGGACATGTTTGGTCTGGTTTAGTTTTGGTTTTTTAATTTGATTTGATTTGGTTCGGTTTGGTTTGATTTGGTTTTGAAACCATATGGCTGGCTCTGAACTCACTTAGGCTGGCCTCGAATTCACAGCAATCCTCTTGCCTCAACCTCCTAAATGTTGGGATTACAGGTGTGCACCACCATGCCCAGCTAGGGATATATTTTGAAAAGTAGTACATTGATTGCATATTCTCCCGGATTACTTTTCAGCCCTAGACTATTTATCATGAGTGTTCATATAGATGACAACATTATGTTAACCAAGTATGAGGGAATAGAAACATAAACATGTTTGAGAACCCCTAAATGGCTAAATGAAATGCAGTCATCACTTTCTGAATTTGAACTGGAAACCAATGGAAAAATGAGATATAGCCACATCCCAACATATCTGCTCTAATCTCTACCCCCTATTACCAATTTTGGGTAATATAATTCATTTCTGAAATGCCTCTATCATTCTTTATTCTACGTCATTTTTTATAGAACTTCACTCTTTGCTTACAGTCACATTTCCTTTTTAATAAAAATGAGTAAGCAAAACACAGATATCTCTTTGGAAAGAAGTCTATGGCAAACTTCAAGCTAAGGTGCTACCCAGAGTAAATGGATCCCTAGGTTTCCTCATCCAGGTGCTTGCAGTGATTCACCAGTATAAGTTCAGCAGGAGAGATGTCTAAGCAAGAGAATAGCATCTTTAACCCCACCAGCAAACTCAGTCATGTATATCTATAGATTTTAACTAAATGTCTACATTATACTTTCTTGAAAAATAGATAATTACTTTGATTGCAACTCTTAAACTTTGCTATCAGCATGGGAAATACATGAACACATAAAAGAAAAACTTTGGTAAAGTATCATCAAGAGAACAATTTATGATTTTTTAAAAGCACTAAGGACTAAAAAGTTAACTGTCACATATTTTCAGGTGTTCTGCAGGTATCTCTGGGTTAAACAGAGTCTACACATGTCAAGGAGGTAGCTGTATAACTAGAAACTGCAAAATAAATTCTACCTCGAAACTATATGAAAAAGATTGTCAGTTCTTCCCTGATAAAGTTCAAACAGAAAAAGCATCCATAATGTTTATGCAAAGTATTGATTCTGTAAGTATGTCAATCCTTGCTTCCAAAACTCATAATCAAAGCATATATCTGATTTTATTTGTTTATTTTATTTTATGGTGCTAGTGATTTAATCCAGGACTTTGCACATGCTAGGCATGCACGCTACTCGAAAGTGTTACACCTCTAGCCCCACTTTACCTGATTTTGAAATATGCATCCAGATGACATGAGGATTAAATACATTGATATAGAATTTGTTAATTATTGATTGGCATACAATAAGCATTCAGCTAATATCATCTCTTGTTATTATGGTCAGCCAACGTTAATGCTGATTTGTGTTAATTATATTTCACCCAAGAAAAGAATATATGTAGAATAATTTAAATTGATCAGGTTTATAGTTAGTTTTTTTTAATATATGGTGGTTTGCAGCAAAATGATGTTTTCATTTTGTCAACCTTCTAGGTTGTTGAATTCTGCAATGAAAAAAACCATAACCGAGAAGCTCCAAGTCTACAAAATCTAAAGTGCAATTACAGAAGTACCTGGGAGGTCATCAGAGAGTCTGAGGACTTTAACAGCACCACACCGATGAAGGGACTACCTCCTCCACCTACCTTCTCATTGCTGAGGATCAATGAGAGAATTGTGTGCCTTGTTCTTGATAAGTCTGGAAGCATGGCTGTAAGTTCAGTAGGCCTATTTTTCTGGGCATAGCAGTGGAGGTAGTTAAATGCTAGGAACACACTGTATTCTACCTGTGCCTGGATTGTTCCAAATTATATGGTGGCATAAGGTGTCATCATTTCTGGTGATCATGTCCTCAAGATATTGCAATAAAACTTATAGTAAAGGAAAGATGTCAGTAGAGTTCAAAAGACCTAACCCCAGAGTGTCTTTTTTTTCCAGAAAATGATTTACTATGGAGAGTGAAGCTCTCTCTGGTAAAGCTTTAGTTAGAAGGTCAGTACTAGAGATTGAAGGACTTAATTGCTTTTAGCCATGATTCGTTCTTTGAAAATGCTTGAGAACATGAGGATTAGTGGACATTAAACCACATTTCAGGTTAAGGAATGGAAACATTCATCAGGATCCCTAACATGGATTTTCCTTATTTGTGCTACCTTATTTGTACTATAAATGACCTCTTTATACTCAAAGAAACAAACAAAAATATCACAAGGAAGAATGTATGTTTAGATGCAGTCATTCCTTCCATTATCATGCAGCAAATGAAAGGCACTGTGCTAGGCTCTGAGGATAGAGATCCATGTCCTTCATGGTTCAATACTGAATGCTCTTTCTCGCTTTCCCCATTATCTGGTTAAGTCAGACTTACCTCCCAATTTAGGAGAGATACTTCCTCTAGGAAATGAACTGGCTGTATCAGTTGCTGTAGGCCTTTCTGCTAACTCCCAATACTTCCCTGTGCTTGCCTCTATTACCATATATAATTTTGAAAGCACGGGTGCTTCTACCAACCAGATTGGGAGATTCTCTAGGAACTGGAATCTTGTCCAATGCATCTTTGTAGTCTTGTGGCATAGAACAGAGTTCATTACATAGGAGTGATCAATAAATAATTGCTGAAATGAGTGAACTACAAACAAGCAATGTAACCTGATAGGCTGTCAAGAAGGATAAATGCTTGAGGTAGAATAGGACATGCTAAAGACCAGAAATAAAAACCTCAGCCAATACTTGGGAGATGTTTATTGAAAAGGGCAGAGGATGATACAGATTAATGAAATGAGCCACAGTAATGCAGGATTTCAAAGAGGCCAGCAAAGTGCTGACACCAGCACACACAGGTGATCCAACAAATGTCACTGAAGAGAGAAGAGGTTCCTGATAGAAAGATGAGCTCCTCCAGGCAGAGTGCTGTTAGAGATAGGCTTACAGATAAAATAAAGTGACAGAGAACCTCAACTATGGACTTACAGGAATTTTTCACTGTGATTCGGTTCAGCAATTCAAGAGGGAAGTTTGGGTAGAGGTCGTGGGTAGGTTCTGCTAAGGAGAGCGCTGGTGAGGGAATGGAGAAGAAAATGTATGAGGACGTGTACAACCTGGGCAGTCATCTAGGAAAGAGGGATGAGAGCACTGGTTTTTTGTTGTACTTGTTGCATGAGTGCCTGTTAATTTTGCCAAACATTACATCTCAGCATGGTATTCTTATATAGGTGTGTAACATTCTAGGATCATCGTATTAGCACCTCATCCCCATCCTGTTTACCATTCTGCATCCCCCATGTTCCCTTCTTCTTGAGTCTCTTCTACTTTCATTTCTTTTTTGTTTTCTTTTTTTAGATTCCACATTTAGGGAAAACATGCAATTTTGTCATTTCAAATCACGCTTACTTTGTTTAACATGAAAATTTCACATTTCATTTATATCCCTAAAAATAAATAATTTTTTCTTTCTTTTGGCTGAATGATACTTTGTTATGTACCACATTTCTTTTCTCCATTCATCCATTTTTTGGAACTTAAACTGATTCTATAGCTTCATTATTGTGATTTACATGGTAATAAACATGTCTATTCTGGTATCTCTGCCATATGCAGGCTTTAATTTTTTCTGGCATATAACAAGGACTTGTACTTGAGTCACATGGTAGTTCTACTTTTGGTTGGCAAGGGAGCCTCCACGCTGATTTTCATAGTGGCTGTATTAATTACCACTTCCACCAACAGTATGGAAGAATTCTTGCCTCCACTCCTATCCTCATGGGCATTTTTTGCTTTGTGTATTGTTGATGATAGCCATTGATATGAGACACAATTTACAATTTTGATGTAGTTTTGATTTGCATCTACATAATGGCTACCTGAACTTTTAAAAATATACTTATTAGTCATTTTTGTTTTTTCTTTTGAGAGTGTCTCTTCAATTCAATTGCCCAACTTTGAGCAGAGGCAATATCATAACTAATAGGTTTATCTGAGGTGTGGTTATTGCTATCCAATTCATTTGCCTATTTACTGATCGGGCTATTTACATTGTTGTTGTTAAGTTTTAGATTCATTTATATATTATAGATACAAATGCTTTGTCTAGAAAATAGCTAGAAAAGGTTTTCTCCCATTCTGTAGTATCTTTACTCTCTTGATTTTTTTGCTATACAGAAATTTTTTATTTGTTAAAGTCAAATTTGTTCATTCTTACTATCATTTCTTCTGCTCCTGGAATCCTGGTCAGGAAGTATTTTCCTGAAGTTGTGACTACAAGTATTTCACCTATGCTTCCTTTTAGGAGTTCCAAAGTTTGGGGTCTTATTCTTAGGTCCCTGATCCATTTTGAATTGATTTTTGTACCAGGTGAAAGATAAGTATCTAGCTCCAAACTTCTGCATATGGATATGCGGTTTCTGAGCACCATTTGTTAAAAAGACTGTGTTTACTCCAGTGTGTGTTTTTAACTCATCTGAGGGAACTCAGAAGACTATAGTTGTGTGGGTGTGTTTGTTTATCCTACAGTCTATTGTATTGGCCTACATGTCTATTGTATGCTATTTTTGTTACTATATCTCTATAATATAATTTGAAGGCAGGCATTAAGATGCTTCCAGCCTAGCTATTTGCTTAGATTGCATTAGCTCGTCTGAGTTTTTCATGTTTGCATATGAATTTCAAGATTGTTTTTCCTACTTGCCTAAAGTGTATCACTGATATTTTAATGGAGATTGTATTGAAGCCATAGATTACTTTTGATAATACGGCCATTGTAATGCTATTAATTCTGCCAATCCATAAATATAGCAAGTCTTTACATCACCTCTGGTCTCCTTTCAGTTTCATTGTAGAGAACTTTCACTTTCTTGGGTAGATTGATTTCTAGGCAAATTTTGAAACTGTTGTAAATGGAATTGTTTTCTTGATTTCTTTCTCAGCAATTTCATTACCCAAAAAATTATTAATTAATGTACAGAAAAAAACTATTCCTTTCTTGTTAATTTTATCTCCTGCTGCTTTGTTGAATTTATTTACCAGATCTTAAAACCTTTTTGGCAGTGTTTAGGTTCTTCTAAGTATAGGATCATATTATCTGCAAATAAGGATGGCTTGCCTTCTTCCTTTCCTATTTTTATCTCTTTCAGTTCTTTTTCTTGTCTAATTGATCGGGCTAAAATTTCATGTACTACATCAAACAGGAGTGGTAAAAGTGAACATTCTGGTCATACCTGATTTTAAAGGAAATGCTTCCAGTTTTTCCTCATTCATTTTAAGCCTGCTGAAGTTAACTCCCGTAATATATTAATCCATCTAATATGTTACCAAAGAGTCAACTCCAATTAAACTATTGGTGGATAAATGTTGGTTTAACATTAGGAGTGGAAAAGGAAAACGGGATGGTAAGGACAGGGCTTCTCAGAATTTAGCCTCATCTCAGTTTAGTTCTCAGCAAATGGAGCAATTCCAACTCCGAAAGGAGTCCATCTGGTCTAGTGGTATTTGTGAACTCTGGGACGTAATTTCATGTTAAGACAGTCTTATGTACTCATTATGTGTGATGTTATTACCTTCCAACCGAAAATTAATTGGTTGTTTTCTTTTGCTTTTTATTCAGCTTGATAAACGCCTCACTCGAATGAATCAAGCAGCAAAATTTTTCTTGCTGCAAATTGTGGAAAATGGATCCTGGGTAGGAATGGTTGAATTTGACCTTACTGCACACATTAAAAGTCAGTTAATACAAATAAGAGGCGACAGCGAAAGAGATACCATGATGAAGAGCTTACCTACACAAGCTAACAGTGGAACTTCCATCTGCAATGGGATTAAAAAAGCATTTGAGGTAAAAGTCATCATGCTAAGAAAATGATAACACTATAATTCTTTGAATTTATCTTGAATTACACACTTTTTTGCTGTACATGTGAGCTGTGTCTTTATTGCTCATCTGTCACTCAGTCTCTCACGCAAACCGTGAGAAATATTAAGTTGAATTCAATTCTTTCCATGAATGAGGGAACCACGCAGTTCCCACCACAGTGACTGACACACTGTAAGTGCTGAGTGAATAAACTCACACAAGAAAGTAAGAGGTGAAATAAGGGAGCTCAACTTCATCTCCAGGCTTTCATTTTGCACTCAGATTTGTAGCAGAAGTGTGAGGGACATGCTCTGTTAATGCCACAAATGTTTAAATGCATTTATGTATATGTCAATGCATATCAAAGTGTGTTTTTCATATATATAGCACTTTGTCTCATGACATGTAAAATTTCTAATGCGAGTAGTGAATTTTTTTCTTGATTCCAGCTTTATTAGGGATTTCTGCATGTTAACTCTCTTTCCTGATTCTACATGTACCTTTTCTCCAAGTCCAAGAAATTGGCTGGTCATCTGGCATTTTTTTTTCTTTTGGCCTAGAACCTGATTCTCAAAATGGTACTCAAGGAAGCCATTATCAATTAAAGCAATCAGAGGGGCTGGGGATTTAGCTCAGTGGCTTAAGCACCTGCCTGGCAAGTGCAAGGTCATGAGTTCAATCCCGGCACCTAAAAAAAAAAAAAAAAGAAGAAGAAAGAAAGAAAGAAAATGTTCCTGGAAACTCAATTAAAGCAAACAGAGAAAATAAAATGCATTGCAATTTCTAGTTAAATTACTTTCTCCTCTCTATGGGCAGCTAGATTCAGAGTTCTGAATCTAGAGTTCTGAAGCTAGATTTTCAATGTGTGACTATTGTAAGTAAAGGATTGAAGCTACAAACAGAACCCAAGAAACATTTCCCATTTGGTCTTTGATCATCACTAACATGCTTACTTTTATGTTAGCCTATACTACAAGTAAATTAATAGTTACTCAATAAATCTCAAACTTCACTATGTTTAGAACTGAACTTTTCTTTTACTTACAAGCATGCTGGAATTTTCTAATTTGGAATCAATGACATTTTTATGTTATGGTGGATTATTAATGAATTGAGCTATACAGACCACAGACTTTGTACACTGAAGGCTTCTAAGAGTACAGTAAAGAGAAGGAGAGTTTTTTTTTTTAAAGTACTTTTGGGGTGTCTAAATGATTTGAGTTTCCTAGGCTGAGATGGAGCCCTTGTTTAATGCAAGCAGCATTGCCCAAAGCACCAACATTTATCCACCAATAGTTTAATTGGAATTGACTCCTTGGTTACATGTTAGATGGATTAACTTCAGCAGTCTTATACTGAATGAGGAAAAACTGAAAACATTTCCTCTAAAATCAGGTATGACCAGAATGTTCATTTTCACCACTCCTGTTTGATGTAGTATATGAAATTTTAGCCAGATAATTTTCATTTGGGATCCAATGTTCATTTGGATAAATCTTGCCTGCAACAGGGGGCAACAAAACATTCATGTCTCCAATTCCTTAGGACAACTACATAAGTTAGTGCGTGCCTGTAATCCCAGCACTCTGGGAGCCTGAGTCAGGCACAGCACAAGTTCAAAACAAACTGAAGTGACTTAGAGGAACCTTGTCCCAAATTAAAGACCAAGTGGGCTGTGGATATATTTCAGTGCAGTGACACTGGTTCAATATCCAGTCCAAATAAAAAGAAAAAAGAAACCCAGATATTCTGACTTTAAAACAGATTCTCTTCTACTTTACCTTTTTTTTTTTTTTTTTGTAGGGATCAAACTCATGACCTTGCCTTTGCCAGGCAGGCACTTATGCCACTGAGCTATATCCCCAACCCTCTACATATTTTTCTTTATTTTCATATTTGTCTATTTTCCCATTGATCTGTTTGATCTACAGTGGTTAATGTGCCTGAAATACGTTTGCAGGTGATTACAAATGCAAGCTTCCAGTTGAGTGGGTCTGAAATACTGCTGCTGACTGATGGGGAAGACCACACGGCGAGCGGTTGTGTTAATTCAGTGAAAGAAAGCGGGGTCATCGTTCATTTTATTGCTCTGGGACAATCTGCAGAGCCAGTAGTCACACAGATGAGCATTGAAACAGGTTAAAATGTTTTCTATACATTCCGGGCTTCGGATAGGACTGTGATACTGTCTGGGCTGACAGCTGTGCACCTTCTCTTGAGCTCCTGCTCTGAGGGTGGTGTGCCAGGGACAGGAGACCAGAGTCAAACCTGACACAATCTCTGTTCTCAGGGTACTTGGAGAGTCGAGTTGTATGGAAACAAAAGAAAACTGCTAATTAAATCACATAACCAGACAATTCTTCCTAACATAGGAATATAGTTTGTACTTTGTTTCTGATTTAATTAGCCTGCAAAATCTAGGCAACAACTTCATTATAACTGTATCTTAAATAAAGTGAACAGTTTTCCAAAAGTACTGTGTAAAAACCGTGAACTTAAATACACAGAATTGTAACCATATTCTTCATTATCTGATCATTTGTGTATTTAATCTAATTGATATTTGATGCTGAGGCATGATGGTATCTTTTACCTTCCTGATTATGTGATATGTGATTCTTTTTTTTTTTTTTTTTTTTTTTTTTTTGGTACTGGGAATCGAATTCACAACTGCGCACTTGCAAGGCATGCACTTACGCTGCTGAGCTAAATTCCCAGCACCCTGGTTACGTGACTTTAAATTAGCATTTCAGAATTAATCTTACAGCTATCTGACACTGATCTGCTTTAATAGTACATGTGGAAGCTGACTTTCATTAAACTTTTGCCTTATTAATCACTAAATGTGTAAGCACTTATTTTCTAGAAATTAACCTCGCTTGTGCATTTACATTTTAGGAGGAAAACAGGAATTGGCTTTAGATAACGCTGTGGACAATGGACTCATTGATGCTTTTGCTGCCCTCACATCAGAAAATGCTGATCTCACTCAGAAGTCCATTCAGGTGAGAGCTCCAACAGCGGGAGGTTTGTGTTTGCATTTACCATAACCACGAAAAATAATGTGTATCTCGTATACACATTATGGAATGTGTATGGAATGGTGGAATTTTAATTAAAAATAAAATCTGAGGTATAATTTTTTACATATAATAAAATTTAGTGCTGAAATGAGAGTAAATTACATCAAAAGGTGTATTTTAAAATATCATCAGGAAAATATTCGTGAGAGTTTGTATCAATTCTTTACTATCTCTGAAGCCTTCACCTTGCCTCCACTCAAATAGTCTATTCTCCCATTACTATTATTCTTGGGGTAATCTTGAAAATGTTTAGACTGGAAGAAACTCACACACTCACACACACACACATACACACACACACACACACACACACACACACACACACACACACACAGCCCTAAGGTAGGCCTAGCCTATGAGTGTGATTGTAGCTACTAAAGATTTAAAGGTTACCTGGCGTTTTAACCAGAAAATTGGGGAAGCAATAGTAGGACCCCACTCTAAAGCCCTTGTTCCTGCTCCAAGCCTCTTAGTATACGCCCGCCTTCCTTCAAATGCTTTTTTCGCACACTTCGCCTGACAAATATTTGAATCCCAGTTAGCTATGTCGACCAGTCTAAGGTGGTATGCCATGTATACATTGTTTTCAGACCAGAAAGTAAGAATCATCTTTTTAAGAAACATTACTTAAATTATTATTTTCTATAGTCGTTAACTTTTAAAATATATTTAAACAGCTTGAAAGTAAGGGACTAACATTGGACACTGGCGCCTGGATGAATGACACTGTGGTAATTGATAGCACTGTGGGAAAGGACACGTTCTTTCTCATCACATGGTCCAAAGAGCAGACTCCTGCTATTTCTCTTGTGGCTCCCAATGGATCACTGATAGAAGGTTTCAAACAGGACAATGACTCCAAAATGGCATATCTCACTATTCCCGGACATGCACAGGTAAGCAATCAGCTTTTACACTTCCTCTGAATTTTTTAATGCTGAAAATAAACTGTTAAATTTCATAACTCTGAATGTTAGTGATCACAGCACCTGTGAAATTAAATTCTACGTTCTTTCCTTGTGTCCTGAAAGTTGTAATGACAAAAAACAGGAAAAACAAACTAAGTATTGCGAAAAAGGAAGATTTAAGGAAATATGGGAAGGGTATGGGCAGCTCGATATGCACATTGTTACTGAGGTGAGCAAAAAACGCTACAACCAAGGCAAACTTATTTTCCCAGTTGATACTTCACATAGTATATATACCATGTATGACTCTAAACGGGGTGGACTAGCCAAACTTCCACAACTTAAGTCTTTTAAAATCTCCAAATCATCAACCACCTGTTTATGGTAGCCCATATTTATATTATTTATTTTAGAACTCTATAGTCAAAACCGAAAATATCTTGATGATACTTATTATGTTTTCATTGAACATTTTAGGTGGGCACATGGCTTTACAAACTTCAAGCCAAAGCAATCTCACAAATACTCACTATTACAGTAACTTCTCGGGCAGCAAAAGCTGCTGTGCCTCCAATCACAGTGAGTGCGAGAATGAATAAAGTCACAAACACCTTCCCGAACCCCATGATTGTTTATGCAGAAGTTCGACAAGGGTATGCGCCCATTCTTGGAGTCACTGTGACTGCGATCATTGAATCAAGCAGTGGACACACAACAGTTTTGGATCTACTGGACAATGGTGCAGGTAATTCACAGGCTTTTATGAAGGAGTTTACATTTTATAACTAAGGATGTGTTATGAGTCCTAGATGTAGCGTGAAGCAGGAAGACAGGCACCCAATGAATTGAGGTAGACTGTAGAGCAATAAGAGCACCAGCAGAAAATTCTATCAGGTAAAACTGATAAAATGCCTAGCAAGTATGTTTTACATGCTAAGTACTCAGGAAATGTTATTTATTATCAAAGGTATGGTCATCTGGACAGCCAATGTCCGTCACCAGTAGATCTCACTGAAAGATTCTCATAAAGAGAGAGTCAGGCTTTCTAGTTAGTGCCTCTTGGAGGTTGCATTCTCAAGAGAGCCTGGGCAGAGAGAGTGAAGCACAAGCGGCAAGAGAGAGCTAAGTAGTCGAACCCAGGCCCCTGGGAGGGAAAGGGAGAGCAGCAGGAGTAATTCCCAAGACCTGGGACAAAATACAGATGCAGTCCTGAGCGCTGAGGTCCAGGAGGAGCGAAAACCACCACAAGAAAGGAGGGCACATCGATGGGCATCTGATACCAGGTCTGACTGTCAGGAACATGGAATAGTGCTGACCAAGCCCTGTCTTTCTGTTCTGTATGGATGAGTGGTGCTTAAAGACATTTTCCCAGAGCTTTTCTGGGAACTTCATCTTCTATTAAAGGTCACAGAACAAGAAGATGAACAATTTGAAACATATCTGAATTATTGCAGAATTCCATATGAACCTTTTGCAGTGTAATTTATTCATTCTATAATTGTGTCTTCAACTAGTGCTGGCAAATTATTCTTTGATGCACCTCAGTGCTCTCTCCCACCAATACCCCTTGTCTCTTCTTCCTCAGCTGTACAACACTAAAACTTACCTGCAAGTGCTTTCCTTTCTTTGCCCTCTGCCATCTGAATATTTGGCTAATTAGGAAGGTATCTTACTTGGATGCCTTTACCTAAGAAGATATCAATAATTAATCATGACATAGGAAGGCAGGTATACTTACACTTTAGTCTGCAAAGGAAACCTCTGAAGGCGTTGGTAAAACGTAAAACTGAGACCCTTTTCTGGATACTCTCTAATTAGCATGTTTGAAAATTTCTAGATTTTGAGAGACACAGCTATTTCTGATCTAAAGGCTAAACCTCAATTTAAGATACTTTGACTTAGAGTGTTAAATGTGCTAGGAAGTGTATTTTGCAACTTAACAGGTGGTTAAGAAGTGCACAGATTTTCTAAATTCCTCCAATTTGTCATTCTAAAAGTAGGAGAGAATTTATTCTTTCAAACTAGAGGGTTAATGCATCAGGAGGGCAAGCGCTAAAAAGAACAAGAAAAAGAGTTGTTGAAGATAAGACAAAGTTTTAGCTTTCGATATTAAAACTTAAAGGATAGTATTAGGGATAGTATTTTCTTAGTGAGAACCTATGAGATTTAAACATATGAATAGAAAAATTAATGTGATTAGATAAAAAATTCAATTTCAGAGCAATGGTTAAAAAAGGAATACTACTACTTGTATACACATTGATGTGGGAAAGAAAGGTGCATTATGTATTTATTTATTATATGTATGCATTTGTATGTACTTATTATACATATACAAACATGCATTTGCAAAAGTGTGTTTAGAAGTATAGATACTCAGGTATCAAAATAACTCATGGACATGAATTGAACAATATTTCCATTAGGCAGAGAATAATGGAAATATTCTAGGATGCCCTTCTCAAAATAGCAAGATAAATTTGGAATATTGTTTACCAAGACCAGTGCTTATCTTACAAAATGTATGAATTCTTTCTTGAATTCATAATAATTGATTTACTTGTTTCTATAACAAGGTGCTGATGCTTTCAAAGATGATGGAGTCTACTCCAGATATTTTATAGCTTTTTCAGAAGATGGCAGATACAGCTTAAAAGTGCGAGCTTACGCAGGAACAAACTCTGCCAGACTAAGCTTACCACGGAATAGAGGTGCCTTTGTACCAGGTTTGGTTGAGAATGGTGAGTACCTTATGGTATCTGAAGTTCAGCAATAGCTTAAATAATATTTGTGATTTGATTTGCCTGAGGGTAGGCACCACACATTTTACAACTCAGAGTTTAACCTTTCCTATTTCTGGAAAGAAGATCTCTGTTAATTGCCTCCAAAGTCAACTTGTGAAAAATGTCTGGCACCTAAGGAACATTCAGCTAATACTGTCACTTTGGAACACCCTTGATAATGTCAACAATAAAACCATGCATTTTCAGCCCAAGAAACAGGAAAAAATCTAGTATATCATGGGCTTAAGTACATGCCATAGCAGAATTTATCTTTAAGAATACACATGCTATAACAGTATTTATTTACAATGTCTTTATTAAGTCTAAAGAAGAAGTGCATAGAGCACTGCGATGCTATGCATAAACTCTGCATTCTTTGACACCTTTCCTTTGTTTGGCCTTGTGTTTTGTGTCTTCTTCAGGTTTCTTGTTGGCAGTTGTAATACTTTTGCAGCTGGGAGGGAAGGGCCTGACCCAAGTGGTTGGAAGGGAACTGGTAAAAATTTCTCCAGATACATTGCTAGCTTGGAGAGAATTTGAAGGGAAACACATTAGATTTTTTTCTTCAAAGACATATATTGAATTATACAAAATAAATCTCAGTGCAATCTTCATTTCAAAGCAATTAGTTATGTGGAGTTCAACTACAAGAGATTTGTTATAATACTAAAGAAAGAATTTTCCCTATTGGCTACTTAAGACTGTGTCACAAGACTTTGTAAAAATGTAACTATGAAAAAGAAAAGATAAATGACACATTGAAGGTAATTCATTAAGTCCTAAAAACAAAGGCACATTTTAAACAAGAGATTTTTAATGCAGGAGAAATTAAAGGGAACACACCAAGACCAGAAATTGATGATAATAATCTGAAGGTTGTGGAGAGTTTCAGCAGAACAGCAACTGGAGGTGCATTTGTGGTGTCAGAATTTCGAAATGTTCCCCTAAATGAAGCATTCCCACCAAATCAAATCACTGACCTCGAGGCCACATATGAAGATGGTAATATCACCCTAACTTGGACTGCACCAGGAGAGAATCTTGATACTGGAACAGGTAAGAATGAAATGTCAGGTGGTTTACTCATGTAGTGAAAGGCATTATTGTAAAAGACAGGGTATAAGGGTTGGTTAGGGGAGAATAGTTTTTAATTAACAACTCAGTAAAGTATTAACAATAAAATGTGGTACTTTTTAATCAATGAAACATGACACATTTTACCCTCATCCTACTCTTCATACAAAGACAGTAGCATTTGGCAGAGACTAACAGTCAGAATTTAGGTTGGATGTGGTTATAGGTCACACACCTGTAATCCTAGCACTCAGGAGGCGGAGGCTGCAGGATTGCTGTGAGTTCAAGGCCAGCCTGTGCCACAGTGAGAACCTGTCTCAAAACAAAATTTTTTAAAAAGTTAAATTTCAGCTTTTATTGAAAAATGAGTGAGACTTCTGTTATGAGCATACATTTTACGTAACTAAATATTACTGACAATAAATGGAAAGAATTTCAAAAACATGTGCTACAATTACTAAACTACATGTAACTTTTTTTTCTTAGTTCAACAGTATATCATAAGGATAAGTGGAAGCATGATTGATCTGAGAGACAATTTTGATGATGCGCTTCAAGTTGACACGACTGACCTGCTGCCAAAGGAGGCCAACTCCAAGGAAACCTTCACATTTAAACCAGGAAATATCTCAGAAGAAAATGCAACCCACATCTTCATTGCCATTCAAAGTGTAGACAAAAGCAATCTGACATCAAAAGTGTCCAACATTGCTCAAGTGGCTTTGTTGACCCCAGAAGTTGATCCAACACCATCTACTAGTGAAATTCAGACTACTCCTTCTGCTGGAAATTATGGTCCTAAAGTTAATCTTTTTGCCATTGTGTTGTCAGTGGGATCTGTTGCACTTGTTAGTACTGTAGTACCACTATTTGTCTTTTAGAAAAGGAAGGGAATCTCTAAGCAGACCTAGAAACAGATTTTAAAAAACAAAGCAACAGAAGTAAAGGATATTTCTGAATTTTTAATTCATCCTTTCTGTTTATGAACTCACAAAAATAATTTTAAGAAGCTTAGAAAAAATATTTTGATTAAATGAAAATATCCATAGATTTGTGAAATACTGCCCATACTAATCTTTAATAATTTTATTTACTAATATTTATCATAGTGATGAATAAAGATTATTTTTCATAGTCATACCTGGTTGTATATTATTTTCTAATGCAAAAGTTTCCTGAAATAATAATACTCCATTTTCAGAAGGTTAACACTGAATAGTCAAAATACAAGGGTAAAAGAACAAATAAATAATATTTGGGGAAACAAATTCAGTGTTGAAGCTATTAGTATTAATTAATGGTACTATAGTCATTGAAAGTCTCCAACTATATATTGTAATCACTTATTATAAACCCAAATATCAAGTTCAGTCATTCTAGTATTATAATCTTTTTCCTAGTTTTCCTCAAAATTCAAAACGTTATATTTGTAATCCCATTGAGATGTCATTGGAATCCCAGCAAGATAATTCCAATCTATCACCACCAATACAACCCACGGCAAGAGTAAAAACACCAATCCTCATGAGGACATGCAGACAAAGGCCTCTATCCTACTCCTCTCCCAGCATTTATTATCTTGTCAAGAAGGGAGGGTGGCTCAGGGATGAGTGCCTTGGGGAGTTATAGCCTCTTATCTTGAGGTTTGAACCCAGTTAACATTTCCAGAGCTATTTGCTCAATCTTGTATTATGGAGAAGAATTGTGGAAACAGGACTGTCTGATGGCTATACATTTTGCATATTAGCACCTCCTTGCCTTATTTGCAATGCTGGGAGACAGTTGAACAGAGAAGGAAATACCCTAGCCAGTCTTTTACATATCAGTATAAGGAAATGAGTCTCTAACTAATCAACATCATAGTAATTGTTTTGGATTCAAAGGGAGTCACTAGAATTGACTCCCAAAATCACTAAAGTCATTTTCATAGTAATTCATATAAATGGAAGACACTAGTAGAAAAAAATCAGATACTACCCATCAAACCATAGGTTTTCCTGATTTCAGTTGCAATCAGGAAATATGTATCTCTCTCTTTTCCCTTAAAAGCCTTAGTAATCCATGTACATTTTCTTTCACTTTGGGAAAGAATGAGAGAAGTCATTATCTATTCACTTTATTTTCAGAAAATTAAAATATATTTAAAACATATTTCCATTAGTCATTTATAGGCACAGCCTTGGAAGTGCAGCCATCTTAATGAATGAGATAAATAAGAAGAGAATGTAGGTTGAGAAAAACATGTTTATATAACCAGCCATATTTATAAGCCTATTATGGTCCAGGTTTATAACAATATAGTTTTCTTTTTCTTCCAACTGTTAGTTTTCCCATGTTGTACAAAGACTTTAACTACCCAAATTTAGGACCTAAAGAAAGAACACCAGCCACTAATTTGTTTTCTTAGTTCATGCATAGTTGACAGGAATTGTTTGCTGATTTGGAAGTAAACTAAAATGAAAGTCATAAGCCGAGTTTAGGGTTGATAGAATTTTCTGCATGGCTAAAAAGATAGAAATATGAAATAAAAGTGGCCTTTATTTTAAGAATCTGGAGAGAAACCCCCCCCCAACCACTGAGGTCTGGCTTTTCTCTCTGCCAGGCACGTGTTATAGGGGCATACATATAGCTTAGATTTGGGGTGATGCCTAAGGGGCATTAGTGATGCACAAGTAGCCCATTGGAATTCATTTCCCACCACAGGTAAATTGCCTAAGGGTAGGGAAGGTGACTTCAAAATAGAGCCCCTTAGTTCCACCTCCCAGCCTCCCACCACTGCATTGTCCCATTTAGAGCAAAATCCTTTCATTCCCATCTTTTATTGTTAGGAAAAAGGGTGAAGTTTTTCTTTCTTTTACTACTTCCTGCTGAAAGGGGGAACTGTATTGGAGTTTAGGTGGGTTGATGGGATGATGGTTGATGCCCATGCAGAAGCTGGTGCCAGGTATTTCAACCAGGACAAACTTTATCATTGGTGAATGCCTACATGTTAGACTGGAAAAACAAAGAGACAAGGTCATGAGGAGGCAGGCCACTATCATATTTAACGACCCAGGTGAGGTAGAATGAAAGGTGCCTTTGATTTAGATGTCATTTATCAGGACCATGTTGAGGTAGAATCATTGCCACGGTGAGGTAGAATTCTGAAAAATAAGTGTGGGGTTAGTAGCAGTGAAGTTATGAGAGGTGATTATTCCCACATCTGAAAAGGTAAAAGTTAAGAGGGTAGGCAGATAAGACTTGTTTCTGGTATGCATGATGTGGGAGTCTTTAGGAAAGACTGTTGAGGTCCTTCTGTAAAAAGGATAATTAATAGAATGTAAGAAATTAGGAACCAAATTAGATACCAAAACATGACATCCTGGGAGTTGTGGTTGTGAAGCCTTGCTATGGTGGAGACGAGTGGGCAAAAGGATGATTAGATCTAGGGCTGGGAGGGCACTGCTTAGCCTGAGTGATGTGAAACCAGGATGGCAGTCTAGCAACTTTGACTGCTGTTGAGGTTGCGAAGAAGACCAGGTATGGGCCGCTCTATCTTGGTTATAGTCCTTGGGATGATTTGCTGTAGCAGGATGTTAGTAAGTATATCAGCCGGTTCCCTGGTTGTGGGAAAGTCTTTTATATATCCTGAAAAAGTACAAGCAAAGGTGAGAAGCTATTTGAGAGTTTTGTGGCAAGTCATGTGTGCAAAATTCTTCTGTCAGTTTTGACGAGGGTTATGTTTGAGAAATTGATGAATAGGAAAGGAAGGGGGAGCTAAGTATCCCTGAGGAGAAGTTTTACTAGAGATAACAGGTGTAAGCTGTTGAGACCTCAGAGTGTCTGGGTCAGTCTGCATAAACACAAAGGAATAAAAAGGCATTTTTAAGATCTAGGACTGTAAAGTGAGTGGTGGAGAGAGGGAGAGAGTACGGCATAAGGGTTTGGCACCACTGGGTGGATTGGGGTAACAGAGCTATTGAGTATCCTAAGGTTTTGTACTAGAGGATAGGACCCATCAGGCTTGATTATCAGGAGAATAGGAGTATTATAGGGTGAATGGGTAGGTTTAAGAGAACCATTGTCTAAAAGACACTTAATTATAGGTTTAAGTCCCTGTAAATGTTTGGAAGCTATGGGATATTGGGGAACACAAGGAAAAATTGAAGGATCCCTGAGATGAATTAAAATAGGCATGGCATGGGCAGCACAGGTGGGATTAGAGTTATCTCAAACTATGGGATCGACCAGAGAAGAAGCAGTCTGGAACCTGTATAAAATAGGCCCTGTCTATAAAGGCTGTATAGGTTGGCCATCAACACCCACTATAGAGACCAAGGACTTAATATAGCAGCCTGACAACTCAGAAAGAACCCCATACATGGCCTCTATGTCCACAAGTATAGAGAATGTCTTACCTGAGACCTCTAGTGGGACTTGGGGCTCTGAGAAGGACACCTGAATGTGGGCTGTGGGCCCGGAGCCCCATCAGTCATCAGCAGCAAGTCCAAGCAGATTTGTCAATGATGAATCTGGTAGTGATGGCATTTCCTGTGAGGACAAGGAGTTGGATGATGGCTTACCCACTCTCTTGCAGCTGGGACAGTCAATCCAGTGGCCTAAGGGCAAGGCCCCAAAGGAACACCCAAAGGATTGGGGCATTTTTTTGCACAACTTTTTTTTTTTTTAGCTGCATTTGAAGCATGGTCCAGGAGGGGCTCAGGCATCTCCACCTTGTGCTGGTTTACCTGTCTCAAAGCTCCAAGTGTCACTGCTAAAAGATCAGATTGTTATTTTTATCTCTGTTGTTGAAAACATAAAAAGCCATTATTAAGAAGATCTCCCTGTGGGGCTTGAGGGGCAAATTTAACCTTTTGTCTTGGGATGTGGCCCACAGTGGAAGATATCTGTAGAATCAAGTAAGTGTGCAAGAGTCAAATAATACAAACAACAGGGTATTTATGATCATAACTTTAGTAATGGCTTCCCATAAGGAGGATAAGTCCAGGGAATTTTAGGAACAGACATATCATTTATTTGTCATATGTAAGTATCTCTTTATCCTGTTAGAATGTCTAATGCCACCTGATTTTTGGAAGATGGCCTGTTTTATTAACTTTACCTTTTTTGTTTAGGAGAGAGATTAGCTATGGTGTCATTTAACACCAGTGGAGTATTATGGCTCAGTGGAGGGCTGAGGCAGGGCTGGTGGACAGGCTGGGAAAGGCTCAAGCCTGGCCTCTGCCCCAGTGCTGGTCTTGTTGTTTTGCCTGCATCATATAACGTTTTTTCTGGAAAAGAGCTGGTGGATCGCAGCAAAAGGAATCCAAAATGAATTTATAATTATCCCTTAATTTCAGTTGTTCAAAATCCAGAAGATTGATAACAGTATAGTACAGTATAGGCAGTAAGCTTAACATAGAACATTAAATGTCTATTAACATGAGTGTTTTAACATTTGAGCGCTGAAAAAAATTGTGAAGCATCTCTAAGCATACATCTGGATCTGAAAGAAAAGACTTGTCATCATACATTATATAAATTTTTGTTTAAAAATTATTATTTGACTAGTGACCTTGTGTTGGTCTGATTTGTATCTCTTGACCGGAACACAAGAAAAAAGCAGCAGAAACAATCTTAGTTTTATATTTGAAGACATGAATATACCATCAGATTAGCAACAATGAACTGTCTTAATTACTTTAGTGAACTTTAACTGAGGTGTCTCCCATAAGGCTAGGGAATAGGAGGTTTTAATTAATAAACAAGAGCTGGTAAAATTACCAGGTGGCCACTTCTCCCGTTTATCAGTTGAAGTCTTGTCCAATGTCTCCTCATCATAAGAGATTTTATTTAACCAGTTTTAGCACCATTTTGACCAGCTGGCAAAAGGAAAAATAAGATTATTGAGCTCAAATAAATGGAACAGCTGTTTACAGACCAGGCAAAAGGACAGACATGGACAGATGATCTGTGCATTATAAACAGGCTGAACAAGCAACAGATATATCTTACAAAATCAGAGTGTATTCAAATATATTTGGCCAATTTGAACTATAAGACTGGTGTGAATCCTTTTGTAGATTAATTAATAGAGATCCCTTGAAATAACAATACCAGAAAAGGAACCTGGTTAGCTCAGAGAGTTAAGAAGGAATG